CCCTGAATCATCAGCCCGCACCCAAACTTTGTATCCACTCCATTTATTTCTTTCTGTAGAAAAAATTACCGCTTACAGTCCTAGTTGTTACCTCAAGAAACCACTACATATTACATGGAACAAAACCCAGTCAGATGGTAAATTGATCAATTGAGTCGGAAGGTATGAAATATTAGAGTTATAAAACTAAATACTGACGTGTCATTTCAATTTTCACTCAGTGTGTTCACGTTTACAAACAGCCGAAAAAAGACACACGCGGAACCTTCGCAATGGATAAAGAAACTTCACGGATTACAGACTTCCTCGCACGGGGAGCGCCGTCAATTTTTTTCCCGATAGATGTCACTATCGGTAATACTTTTAAACCGCGGTAAGGCTACCCGACCAGTAGGATTGAAATTACGTGTTTTTAATATAGGTGGTTGGTTACATGGATCGACCAGTAGAACGGAAAGGGTTTAAAGAGCATTCATATACTTTGTAATAAAATGTTCGTTGATGTGAATAATCAACAATAAAACAATGTAGATACGCGGAATATTTATGTAAACTGGCGCATCAGAGATCAAATACCGTGAAATCGGCAAATTCCAAATAGCATTTATAATTATTTATTGTGAATGACAGGCATGTGCGAAACAATGCTTCAACAAACAATTATCAGCATTTGCGGGAACATCCGATCAATCGATATTTCAGGGATGAGGTACCAATTAAAACTTTGTTATTGCACCGAATAGGCATTGTATACCTAATTTACACGAAATATTTTACGGTTAATCAATCTGTTTATACATTCGAGCATTCACGGTACAGTGTGCCTGTTTTATAGGTCAGGAAAACTAATCGAAAATGAACCTTCGTTTAGCAAAAAATGTGTAGACGGATTTCTTGGGGGTTTATGGAAAGGACACTCATTTAGATACAACAAATGCCTCTAAATAACTTGTTGCTAAACGTCAAGCTTTGTTTCGCATACATTCAAAATACTATGTTGCTATTAGAGGTCCACGAAGTTGCAGGGGGAAAAATACTTGAAAAATGATATATTAGTTTTTTAGTTTGCTACATCTGTAAAGTGCGCAACAGGAAGATTGAAATATAATAGGCAAAACCAGCAACTAATATACATAAAGATGTCCACCGTTTTTATAGTCAATGAACCAATAATATCTTATTTGCAGGTCTCTGCCACACTCTTATCTATGGAACATAGCACCACTGTATTATTTTTAGTAGATGATAAAATAGCTCAGCGATTTTCGGTATCTCTAAATGAAAGACATTCAAGAATGAAATTTCGTGGTAAAATCCATCTATACAATTTTGTCTAGAATATGAGCCATTTTCTGCTAGTTTCCCTGATCTATTATGCAAATGTACATCATTTTTTATTTTATTTA